GGCTGATCTTCTTTCTCACGCAGATATCTATAATTTAGAACTGGTGCCCTACATATGTCCAATCTATTTTGGCAGAATTCAGCAGTTTTCAGATCTGCTTTGTAGGGCACGTGTTTACAATGACTAATTTGATTCCTGAGCTCACCCTGTAATGAGGCAAGCAGGGAAAATCATGGGGAACAAATATGCGTAAAGCTGTTGTCTGGCACAGCTACATTTCTCTCAGATATGCTAGAGGTATTATGCGAGGACGCTAGTCAACTCACCATGATGGTTTCATACCATTAGCCATTGCCTCCTCTCTTGGCGTAGGCGTGATGAATGCATTCCAAAGCTCCCTTTCAGACAAACATTTTCTTGCCATTATTATTTGCAAAATCCTTCTGTGGTAAAAAATAAACATACTGGGCTGGAATTAACAGGACCCTTTAATAAGCATTCTTGCTGAGAAACAGACAGCAACAACAATTTATAACTTGTACTCCACTCATTTGATTGCGTTGCTCCAGCCACTGTGGGTGGCATCCAACATAATAATAATAATAATAATAATAATAATAAACCCACCACAAATTATTGAACAACAAAATCTTCCCAATACAGGGCTGCCTTCAGATGTCTATGGAAGGTCATAGAATTGTTTGTCTCTTTGACTTCTGACTGGGGGGCATTCTACAGGATAGGTGCCACTACTGAGAAGGCCCTCTGCCTGGTTCCCTGTAACTTCGCTTTTTGCAATAGGGGAGCTGCCGGAAGGTCCTCAGACAGAGTTTCTGGATATCTGCAGCTCAAATATCTCACCAGTGGACAAACGCTGGCTCCCTTGGCCTGAAAGCGAGATGAGCGCCACAACCCCATAGTTGCCTTTGACTGGACTTAACTGTCCAGTGGTCCTTTACCTTTTTACCTTTATCTAGACAAGACATTGTCCTTCAGCCCTGTCTTCAGCGCCAACAGTATGGGGTATTAATACATATCTTCCTTACATTGTTACTGAACTTAACTACTGAAGCAGTAGTTAAGAGTGTCAGATCAACACTGGGGAGAGCCAAGAATCAAATTCCCACTCAGCCATGAATTTCACTGAGTTATCTCTGTGCCTAAGCAACTTCACAAGATTGTTGTGAAAAAGAGTGAGGCCAGTGATTCTAGGAGGACCAGTCACATCAGTGACCCCAGCCAATCAGGGATCATGTAGCAAATGTGGATATGTCACTATGTTAGGTGGCCAATCAGATTTGGCTACAACATGATTGCATTATAGAGAGCAAATCAATTCAGCCGAAAGGAATTGGGAAGGAAAATGCAAAAGAACAGACATACATTTTCATGAACAACGCACATCCAATGCCTTTTACGTAGACAAAAATCTTCCCCAAAACAGCAAGTAGATTTGCTTCATCCCTGTCACTAAACAATGTTACCATGATAGATATGAGTGGATTAGATTTGTGGAGAACATTTGTTTTAAAACAATTCAAAAGAACTGCTCAAATATAGCATTTATGAATCAGGGAGGTTTCTGGCTTTTTGGCTTGACCTGAAATGCATCTCCATGGAAGTAAATTTCAATTGAAATCAATGGGATGTACTTTTCAAGTAAATGTGTTCAGGAGTGGGGTGTTAGTCACATAAGTATCCTTTTCTAGCTGAAGGAGTGATATATGCTGATATATAACCCACTGCAGAATAAAATTAATCATGGCAGCGGAACTAAATCAACACAGCAAATTTAGCCAAATCGCTCAAACCACCCAGCTGTTGTTCCTTGACAAACAGAAGCGGCAGGATCACAATGTGAAAGGACTCCCCGTCGAAATAATACGAGAGGATTTCTCTCTTTTGCCTTACTCCTTCTGCTGCTGCATAAACAACAGAAAAGGGATCACAGGAAGGAGGAGCAAGAAATGCATAAAATCAAGTCTCATTGCAATCACTGCCACCGGAAACCAGGTAACACTATTCCCACCCCCCTCATTTATTGATCATCACTGGTGTGCTCTTACAGCTGTTAGTACACTTTTGCTACAAATATGCTCACCTTTTTATATTTATAAAGAAATAGGTCAAACCAAACCAACAGGGGGAGGGTACATACAAGGCAGCTAGCATTTTGTATTTTAAACATGTTGGATGGAGGGGAAAGAGTAGCAGTTCAGGTTGAACAGTGTTACACAGTCATTTGATGATAAGGGAGGTAATGAACATGGACCTCAAAAACAGCAGCAGTATTTTAGGGAGGGCCGCATGTGGTGTTATGCAACTTCCAGTTTATATAAACTTCCAGATATGACCCTAGTTTCTTGAAATAAATGCTGCTATGCTGCCACAAGCCCATCTGGAAATGTTTCCCGTTAGTCTGCACAGCTCCCATCATGCCTTGCACCGCTGGAGCACTAGCAACAAAAGGAAAAGAGCAAATCACGTCTCCGAAGCTGTGTTGGCTGCTGACATGATCGATGATGCTGTTGCGTCAAGCAGGATCCTACTCAGAAGCAAATAAACATGACCTCCGGGGTGGGGGTGGGGTCATAACTTTAGGAGTTAAGATTATGCTGCAAGTCAAAATTATTACCTTTCTTCTTTTTTTAAAAAAAAGGGTGCTGTCCATTTGTATACTCTCCTCCTCGCATGACAGAGAGCTGCAGGGGTCCAACACCTCTGGTTTGGATCCAGACTCACTCATGCTTTTTGAGCAGACACACTGAAACCAATGGGACTTCAGTTAGTTATGAAATCAATAATATGAGTAAACCTGGATCCGAGCTTTTGTAAATTAGGCCACTGCGGTGTGAAGACAATCCAATGGACGGTGAGGTGAATGTGAGGGACATCGTGATGTATCTATTACTATTCTGTAGGATTGTGGAAGCTTAGTATTTGAACTCTGGTGAGGAGGCTACATCCAAGTTAGTAGAGATCAGAACGTCTCACCAGAGCCCTCTGCTGCCAGTCGTGAGGTTTTGCTTAGCTTTGTCCATCGTCGCCTCTCATTTGTTTCTGTGCTGCCTCTGCACATAGCGACTTTACTGCAACCCTTACCGTTACCAGTCTTGCAACTATTATCCCCATATGGCAGGCACAGGGTGCAAAAACCGAGGGTGAGAGGCAGTGGCTTGCTTAAGATTGTTCATGTCAGAAGTGAGATTGTCCTTCGGTTTTTCAAGTATTTTCTTCCTCTGCGAAAGAGGCTTGGATTTTATGCCTCATTCTCAGGGATACTGAGAATTTTGCTACGTTTTCAGTTTGCGGAGGGTTTTGAGGCTGCCTTATTGTTGCAAAGTTGCCAGGGGTATTGAATGTGCCTTTCTTTTTAGTACAGTGGTAAAGGTAAAGGTACCTCTGACCATTAGGTCCAGTCGCGGACGACTCTGGGGTTGCATGCTCATCTATAGGCTGAGGGAGCCGGCGTTTGTCCGCAGACAGCTTCCGGGTCATGTGGCCAGCATGACTAAGCAGCTTCTGCCAAACCAGAGTTGAGCACGGAAACGCCGTTTAGCTTCCCGCCGGAACGGTACCTATTTATCTACTTGCACTTTGACGTGCTTTTGAACTGCTAGGTGGGCAGGAGCTGGGACCGAACAACGGGAGCTCACCCCGTCGCGTGGATTCGAACTGCCGACCTTCTGATCGGCAAGCCCTAGGCTCTGTGGTTTAGACCACAGCGCCACCCGCGCCCCTTGGGTTGGTGGTACCTCAAGTTAAGAACTTAATTCGTTCTGGAGCTCCGTTCTTAACCTGAAACTGTTCTTAACCTGAGGTACCACTTTAGCTAATGGGGCCTCCCACTGCCGTCGTGCCGCTGGAGCACAATTTCTGTTCTTATCCTGAAGCAAAGTTCTTAACCCAAGGTACTATTTCTGGGTTAGCGGAGTCTGTAACCTGAAACGTCTGTAACCCGAGGTACCACTGTAAATACTTCTCCAGCATTCTGCAGCTTCTCTGAGTGACCATGCTTCCTCATCTGCAAAAGCCCCATTGGAGGTCTTACCTCCTGGGCTCTGGCTGAAATGTGAGCACCCATGGAGGCTTCAGAGTACAAGCCACTGGTGAGATGAGTTGTAAAAGAAAAGGACACTCATGAACACCCTTCAGTCACATCAAAAGTAAGGCAAACACCCCGGAAACCCTGCACTGCACCCGTGATAATCTTATTTAAAGTTTCTCTTCTCTTTCATAATTTTCAAATGCCACTTTTCTCATTAATTGATGCAGAATTGCGGCAGAGTGGGGAGAGACAGGACAAGTATCCAACACAGCACTAATTTTAACCAGGAAATTCCTGGTTCACAGATCAGATTTTTCAGACCAGGTTTTACGTTGTGCAGGAGATCCATGATCTGATCTTCCCAGGTTTTTGCTTACTTTAAAGCAGTTGTAGGGGCTCAGAATTTGATCTGAACAGAGGCACTGGGGTAAGGGGTAACCCCCTCCTTCTTTTCCCAATAAAATCCCCCCTCCCTTATAGAGGTGGTGCTGGGAGGCTGAGCACATAATTTGCACCCACTGAGCAAAAATCAACAGGGGAGATTTAGAACAGGAAAACTGTGCAGGGGAAGTGCTTATTTCAAGCACATTTTTTGAAAAAGAACACTGGGAGATCTGATAGCTTTTAACCCTCAAAGAAGGTAGGCCCCAGCATATGTTTTTAAGCACACAATATGCACATTGATATAACACCAGGGGATTTCTTTCAACAAGTCTACGATTCTATGATACTATGAAGCATTCTAGTTGTAGGATGCCTGTCTGTCTATCTGACGTTTTGATTAAAATAACATTTACCAAAAAAGTGAGGGTTGATTTTCTAAATATTTCTGCTGTTTTCTGTTAACCTTAGAAAAGCTAAAAATAAAAAATACTGAGATCCTAAGATACTAATATCTTGGTCGGTTGGATTATTGACCCTTTAAAATGGTAAAGGAGACTTGCTTGAGCTCCATGTTGAATTCTACTCATGTTGAAATATGATCTCCCATACCACCATGCTGGTTAGCTCTCCTGTGGCGCAGTGGGTCAGTGTGTCTGGCTGTTAACCAGAAGGTTGTTGGTTCGATCCCCGCCACCAGGATGGCTAGAGGCAGAATTCCTGCATTGCAGGGGGATGGCCCTCAAAGTTCCTTCCAACTCTACAATTCTATGATTCTTTGATTCTGTGATCCCCCTTTATCTCTAATGCTAGTTCAAACAAACCACTCTCATGCATTGAGAAGGGTGCCTGGTCTTGCCTATCTGCTCCATTGACCATATCCCAACAGGGCCACCACATTCCATGAGAAGCAGTCCTATTACATGTACCAATCATGTACCCTCATAAAGTTCCTCCCCACAAAGTGAGGAGTTCTAAGTTCCAGCATCACTAAGGCTCCTTTCTTTCTTTTTTCTTTCTTTTTTCTTTTTCTTTTATTAAATTTCTGTTTTACATTTTAGAATATTCACTTAAACAACCTTAAAGTATCAATTCCTCTCTTTCCATGGTTCATTTTGCACAACATAAATACCTGCATATTTTTTGTTCTCATACTGAAGCAAAGTTCTTAACCCGAGGTACTATTTCTGGGTTAGCGGAGTCTGTAACCTGAAGCGTATGTAACCTGAAGCGTATGTAACCCGAGGTCCCACTGTATAACATCCATCAAAACTTATTTACGTTGTTGAATTTATCTTAATGCTGCCCACGTTTTCAAATAAACACAAATTTCCTGCACATATTCAATAAACATTTTCCAATCTTCTTTATTTGGGACTTTGCTCATTTTCCATTTTGGGGCTAACGAAATAAAAGCCGCAGTAGTGGCATGCATAAATAACCTTTTCCGACACCTGAGAATTTCTGTCTGAGTTATCCCCAACGAAAAGGACTCTGTTATTGTTTTTTAAAGTACTTTTAAACTTTTTTTTTAGTTCATTATGAATTATTTCCCAATACTCTTTTATCATTTTACAGGTCCACCACATATGATAGAAAGTACCCTCAGTCTGATTAGGTAAGGCTCCTTTCCATGCTTAGCAAACACACGGCTTGTGGGGGGCAATGTCATTCACATCCATGGTAGGTGGGCAAGGCAACGCATACCCTCCAACATTTCTCCAATGAAAATAGGAACATCCTATCCATACCCTCCAACATTTCTCCGATAAAGGTAGGAAAAGTTGGACATTCCGGAATCAAATTAGAAACTGGGATGGCTTCTGTAAATCCAGGACTACCCCTGGAAAATAGGGACACTTGGAAGCTCCAGGGAAGGTCCTGGCAGCTTCCTTATACGTACTGTGCAGAAACGCACTCAGAGCCAGTGTGGTATAGTGGTTAGTATGTGGGACAAGGACCTGGGAGACCAGGGTTCAAGTCCCCACTCGGCCCTGAAGCTCACCGGATGACCTTGGGCCAGCCACTCCCTCTCCACCTAATTGACCTCACAGCTTTGTTGTGGGGCTTAAATGAGGAAAGGGAGAACCACGTACCTCAAACTTCTTGGAGGAGAAGGTGGGAAATAAATAAATAAATCTGAAGGAAATGGGCCTGGCTAGTTATACGCTAAACAAAAGCTGAACCTCCCTTGCACTTCAGAAGCAATTTGCACAGGGCCAGAGGGAAGCGGGTGGCGCTGTGGGTTAAACCACAGAGCCTAGGGCTTGCCGATCAGAAGGTCGGCGGTTCGAATCCCCACGACAGGGTGAGCTCCCGTTGCTTAGTCCCTGCTCCTGCCAACCTAGCAGTTCAAAAGCACGTCAAAGTGCAAGTAGATAAATAGGTACCGCTCCGGCAGGAAGGTAAACGGCGTTTCCATGTGCTGCTCTGGTTTGCCAGAAGCGGCTTAGTCATGCTGGCCACATGTCCGGGAAGCTGTACACCGGCTCCCTCAGCCAATAAAACGAGATGAGCGCCGCAACCCCAGAGTCGGTCATGTCTGGACCTAATGGTCAGGGGTCCCTTTACCTTTAGAGAACAGGGGTGGGTTGGTTGGGTTTGCGTTCTTGTGAAACACTGGTCCCAACCCCCTTATAGAAATCTTTGGATCTTTAGTCACCTATGTTCTATCATTCCTATCTCCTGGGCATTGCTGCATCCTCAACAATTGGCTCCGCAGCCACACAGAACTCCCTAGAGGCAGTTGTTGTTTTTTACGAAAGATCACAAATGGAAGCAATATGTTGCAGGGCGGTGGGGTGGAGGGAGGTCTTTTCACCTAATTGTAGGAGCAATCCAACATCCTGTTTTTGTCATTCTAACCTGTTACCAACTTGGGTCGTTCCAAAGCGGCATTCCTGCGTGCCCTCGACAGGAAGCAACTGCCATTTCCTCATATATATTTTTTGTATAGCTATTCTTTATTAGGTTACAATTACTTTGCATTAGCATTCAGCTGCTTGGCTCAGTGCGCAGGCAGATAAAGCAGGGTTTTTTCCTGAGAGCTAGGGTGCATATTACAAAATTTAATTTCTCGCCCAGGCACTGCTCGATAAACGCAGAGCTCTGCTTGCTGCGACACACCAAGAGAACACCACTGCCCTCTGGGTCTGACATCACATCTAGTCTCTGCTGCTTTGCATGAGTTGCAAAATCAAAGGGAAGAAATCATTGGAAACTTTATAACTCGGGGTTTTTTATTAAAAGGAGATGCTGTTTTTAAAGACTGCATAACGCACCGTGTTGCTCGCCTGATTTACTGCTTTTCGCTTCGCCCTCCCCCCTCTCTCTTTCGCCATAAAACCGCTGTAAAAATCATATATCATGCGAGCAAAAATATCAAATACAAGGCATGTGATACATCAAATAACGGACATAAATGCATACTTTACAGCAAGCTGTTATTTCTAAACATCAGCATTCTGAAGCAGAAACGCTTGGGCAATGGGCTCTTTTGATTTCTGAAGAGAACTGTGGGTGTGAGGTTATCACTTCATTTCTCCCCATCGTGACCTTACAAGCCGCTGCAGCTGCGCATAACAGATAGGAGACAGTAGCCGTGGCACCAACAATGGCCTCGCGAAAGAATTATGCACAAGCAGGATACAATTTATAGGGTGGTGTGCATGTGTGTATAACGTTCTCATTTTAAAAAATAAAAAAAGGGAAAGAGGACTTAATTGAAAGATGCCAGGGCTCAGATCTGGTAGCTGATAGCGGGCTATGAATATTCCGGCATGAGGGAGAAGTATTTGGTCTTTCCTTTGGGGATGGACTGTTGCTCAGTGCTTTGCATCAGAAGGTCACAAGTTCAATCCCCATCGACTCCAGGAGAAACCCCTGCCCAAGACTCTGGAAAACCACAGCAAGTCAGTATAGACAACACCGAGTTAAATGGACCACTAATCTGACCAGTATGGACCAGCTTCCTATGTTTTCCTGGGTGCTTTTATGCAGGGCCCTGAAATTGCAAATAGATCGTACCTCATGAGTCAGCATTTCCACGTCAACTCCTTGATACCCACAACACTCCAACATGAGCTGAGTTTTGCCGAGTTGGTCTCAGGATCCTGAAACATGGTAATGGTGAATGACAACGGCCAACTAATTGTTGGCTTAGCCATGGCTCAAGCGTTAAATCTGCAGCAAGCATTGCCTTTCTGCTTCTCTCCTGCCTGCAAGACAGATCTCTCTGGTGCCTCATTCACATTCCCTCACAAAGCAGGGCTCGGCTTAGCATGCTTTGTTCTTGGGAATTTAACTAGATTGGCAACAGGCCAACACCACAACCCATGGTGTCATAAGGCACATTATTTTGTAACATGCTCTAATAAGAACAGAAATGGGATGCAGGTGGCGCTGTGGTCTAAACCACTGAGCCTCTTGGGCTTGCCAATCAGAAGGTCGGTGGTTCGGATCCCCACAACGGGGTGAGCTCCCATTGCTCTGTCCCAGCTCCTGCCAACCTAGCAGTTCGAAAGCACACCAGTGCAAGTAGATAAATAGGTACCACTGTGGCAGGAAGGTAAACGGCGTTTCTGTGCGCTCTGGTTTCCATCACGGTGTTGCATTGCACCAGAAGTGGTTTAGTCATGCTGGCCACATGGCCCGGAAAAGCTGTCTGTGGACAAACGCTGGTTCCCTCAGCCTGAAAGCGAGATGAGCACTGCAATCCCATAGTCGCCTTTGACTGGACTTAATTGTCCAGGGGTCCTGTACCTTTACCTTACCTTAATGGTGAGTCCCCATGAGTTTCTGCTGATACGGTAACCACCGGTAGCATCAGATATGGCACCGTGAAGTTGCACATAGCAACTTCTGGAAGGGAGTCCAGACACTGCAGGCTGGGTGATTGATTGCGGCTAATTAACCTACATGGCATCCCAAAGCCATCCAGGAGGCAGTTGTGCCAACACACCTCCTGTGTGCCTAATGGTTGGTGCTGAGGACCCTCCGTGATGATGGGATTCGAAGTGACACGGAGTTTAGCAGACTGGACTCTCCCACTTGCTGAGCCCAGGATGCAACACTGTCATAAAGCCACAGGGGACAAGACATGCACAGAAATGGGGATCTGGAGCAGGAAGCAGCTGGCTGTGTATGGAGCCTTCTTGCTGTAGAGGCAGCGATGGGCAACTTCAGTTTGCTCATTCTTAAATTCAGTTCTCCACATTTCCACAACAGTTTGCAATAAATACTGATAAATGGAGAAGAGTGCCCATAAAAATTAATCAGCATTTTGGTCTCTTGATGTATGCAATTTTGCCTAATATACACAATCTCCCAAAGCAGTTTTCTCTAACGTAATGCATTCTTGTAGGTCATTTCACACTAATGTATGAGTAATAAGTAATCCGACGGGCTCTAGATAATCCTATAGTTTGAAAGTAATAGGTGAGTTCCAATTTAGCCCATGTGGGGATCTTCTGACACAGCAGAGCTTCTCCTTTCCTTGCCTTGCAGTGCTAAATCTTCTCTAGGGATTGGAGGATCCTATGGAACATACTTTGGAGGTGTGCTGGGCCTTGGAGAAGGGAGAAAGTTTTCCAGAAATCCTGTTGTAGAAGTGGATTTCCATGGTGCAAGTGGACAGACATCATTGGATGGTGCTGCTAAGTTTTTCGGGACTATCTGGCCTACCTTGTTTTTTAAATATTATG